AATAATTCTGGTAGCAAAGTTAGTAAGAAGGAACGCTTGATGTGGTGAGCCTGTAAGTAAAGCGGCTGGACGAGATCATGTGGATGTATGTGAATGTGAACAAGTAATACGTTCATAGACGAAGAAAAGGTAAGGGTGGCACGCGCGGCCCGCTTCTATCGCTTCCGGGCATCAGCGTGCTCGCGAGCCGCAGCTAATTGCTCTTTAATGCAAGCGAGTGAACGAGCGCGTTGCTTTTCTTAGATGCCGAGGGAAACTGACCGTCGTCGTCCTGTACGTTGTAAAAAAGAGAATACATGAGATTTATGTCGGCCTCCGGACTTTTCGTCACGCTTTGTTTAGGATACGGTTTTAGTTTTGAGAAAACTCTTGGGGCTTCTTCCTTCTTTTTAATTGCAACGGGTAACTGTGCCTTTGATATCGATCTAGAACTGGATAGACCACATAGTCGTTTAATAATTAGGGTATGTGCGTAGATTAGAAAATAGAAACTTTCCTGTTTAAAGTGATCACGATGTTAAGTAATTCGATAACATTTTTAACAAAGAAAACAAGACAAATATGGCTTTAAAAAAAACAAATATTAAAGTAATGTGCATTCAAAAATTTCTTCAATATTGCATACTCGTGTAGAATTTCAAAACTTGAATATCGTTATGCAATTCACACATGGAAGGAAGAAGAGTGCTAATCATCCGATTTACCCGATTTTTTCTCAGGTCAGTCTCAGTTGTTTATTCAGCTTTGGGCCACTGGCAGTACATATAATACTGGCAACAAAAATGAAGGGTAGAAAGCTCGATTCGCCGAGGCATGACCAACAGAGTCCTGCAAAAGCTCATACATATGTAGACGATTCGGTCGGGACACTAGGAACCATGGGGAGGGCCCTCCGGAAAAATGAATATGCAGCCCCATAAAAGGTATTATTTTATAAAATTTATCTTGGCAAGGTATTATGTATTTTTCCATCGTTCATTCTCTATGAACCGACTCTATACGTTAACGAGCTCTCAAATATGCTCTTGCGATTAAGTATTTTCCAATAAGAATTGACATAAAGTGATATGATTATAAATAAGTTTGATTGAAAGATTTGTAAACTATTTTCTATATAATTAAAGAACAGGAATTACATTTTATATAATTCTTTTTTATTATATGTAACATTATTTTAAAAAATTATTTATAATTTATAGATATTTTTATTATAGTAATTAATAACATATATAATGTATATACATTGATATTTTTATTAGATGAATTTATAACATAAATGATATTCTTTCTTATATTTTCATTATGCATATGTTAATATTGAAAAGAATTAGATATTGAGACTAATTTATTAAAGAATTAATTTCTGGAAGAATTTAAATTAATTTAGAATTGTAAAAATTATATATTCATATAATCATTATAATTTCATCAACGAAGTTGCTTAAATCTATTATTACAACTTCTTTTTTAAAGAATTCAATTTTTGTTAATGAAATTATTCTTTAAAACAATTATATATTCTATTTCAAATATTTGCTTCGAATCAAACTTTTTCAGCTGAACATTGCATCATCACAAATACTCATTTTTGGCATCATCGTGATTTAAACGATTCCTCATTCACATCCAGTCGCAAAAAAGTAACTTGTGACAAAGATCTAATTGTGAATAGGTTGATATACATGGCATCTTTCCCTCGTGGAGGGTTTGTACCGTAGGGCGGCTGGTTCTATAAAATTGTAGCTTCTTGTCGTCACAGAGGAAACGAAACATTAAATCGACTCCGACGGAGGGGGCGGGCTGTTTCGGTGGGTGCGTCCGAGATTTCCTGTGTGGACTCTGGATGCTAGGAAGGATGACTTCCTACCTAGCTCACAGGGCGCGTCCATCGTGCGCGCTGGCGTCATCAAGATAGATTTATTCGATATAAGGAGGGAACGCGTAACAGGAATCCTTGCGCGGCCCCTTCTGTAAAACGCACGTGATCGTTTTTGCTTTTTTTTCTATTTCGATCAGATTTGAAGTTCTCTTTGATTGGATTTTGTTTTTTTAAAGATAAGATGAAGTACATAGTATATTACGTGCGAGTTTCTTGGAGAATCAATTTCATGAATAGTTTAACAAAGGAAAAAGATACTTCTTATTTTGAAATATATAATAATGATTTTATTTATAGTATTATAGAGTATATAATATAAATAATTATTTTATTTACAAATCTTATTAAAATCTTCTACCGATTTTCACACAAAGTTTCCACATAAGTTCTATTTTATGCCATTTATTTTAGAGTTACAAATTAACTATTGTACAATCAAGAGACATTATGACTTATCATAGATTATGACTTCGATTTATATCTTTTTGTTGCATAGTGAAAATTATTTTTAAGCTT